GGGAGACAGGAGGGATGGAGGGGGGGGGGTATTGCGTGGAAGGGGAGACAGGAGGGATGGGGAGGGGGTTTTGTTTGGAAGGGGAGACGCGTCTCGATCCGTACAGGTCTTAGCAGGTTTGTTTTGTTTTGTCGTGTTCAGCGTTTCTGGTCGGGTTGTGGCTGGATTTCTCTCAACTGACCCGTTCCAGGTCTGAATTGGTAGAGTTAAACTCATCTTGACCCATACAAACTTTAGCACGGTCGAGTTCCAAGATTTCGGTCGAGGTCCAAGTCGAAAAAAATATGACAGACCCGTTCAATGTCCGATTTGGTTGAGCTAAGAGGTGTTTGAGTTCCAAGGTTCCACGGTATATGAATTGCTAACAGTCTATTTGCCAATTAACCTACAGTGCACACACACTTTTGGACTGAGGGAGAAAACTGCCCCCCCCCCAGCAGAAACCCACACAGGAAGGACCTACGTCTGACCCGTGGATAAAACCCAGGACCTTCTTGCTGTGAAGCAGCAGCGCTAACCACTACACCACCAGGCTGCCTGCAATCAAGCGTCAAGTTCCCAATATCTGGGTCACGAATTGCAGGTCATTGTAATGTATTTAACATGAGGTTGTCATACTGTGCAAACTGGTGCCTGGTCTTTGTCCAGTGACTGCTCATTAACCAGCTTATGCCAGGTCTCTGTAACCGTAAGGCGTAATGCCCAGGGAGTTCTGTGTTTGAGGAAGGTGTGTCGAGCTGCACGATGACGTCACTAAAGAGCAGGTCTGCCGTTACCTCTTACACCTGGGCATCGATCTTTTACGACGGGAACAGGGAGACTGATTACTCAGCCGAGACAGCAACCTGCATCTGAGGACACGGTGATATGAATGTTTCCGGAAAGGACGATCACTTCACGGCTCTTAAACCGGGTCATTAAGAAGAGTAGAAAATCAACCATGATTCACCAATTGACACAATAATTTATAAATACAAATAAATTAATCATTTCTGCAGTTTATCCAGAGCAAATGTCACCACTACAGTGAGCAGAACGGGGAGCACAGCACAGGTAACTGTAATAACCTACAGTACACGTGCAAAAGAAAGTTTCCAGTTAGTTTTATTGCAAAACACAAGGGTTCACAAATGCAGTTCACAGAACCAGCTGACATCAGCACACGCGCTTGGCAGGGGGGAGACATGAGAAGGCACAGAAAGACCCCTCCAAAAAAGTGAAGTGAAGAGATCACCCCTCCCCCCATAATAAACGCAGGCCATTGCAAGTGTCCACCAGCTACTGCAGCTATAGCAATTCACTGACTGGTCATTTAATTAGGAGAACTCACACACCTTCTGCTTCAGTACACAGTTACAGCAGGTATTTCAGTACATTAATTATAACACCCAACTACTCATATGAGCAAGCAGCTTACTCATAGGAGTGGTATATTTAAGGACATCAAGCAGCTATAATTTCCAATGTAGAATTCAGCGTTAAACACAAAGGAAATTCAAAAGGAAATTAAATGGATATTCAGTATTGCTATAGAATTCTAGGTGAAATGCAGCTGTAACACAAAAACTACATTAAAATATAACCCTACAGTACGGTCAAGCCCTGTGCACATATGCTGGAGTGTGTACTGGCAGTGTAAAACCTGGGAGATGAGTAAAATAAACATCCACGACACGGAACATCTCAATGTCAGTCATGCACTTAAACAACATCACAGAGATCACAAAACTGATCATGTTATCTTTGCTGTGGCTGTTCTGTTCTAAAATGTAACTGACGCTTCATTTTACTTTTTAATCACATCGAAGTGCAAGAATTAAATACAACAAATTTAACAAGAACAACCAAAAACAGGAGATGCTTTATTTTTAAAGCTAAGACCAATGATTAAAAATACAGAAGTGAATTTGGATAATTAACTATGATGGAAAAAGAGCGAAACTTGGAAACGAATGAGGAGCATTACAATTGCTTCAGTCAATACAATACAAAATGCTGAGAAATGTCCACTTTCTCCATATGATTTGACCTGTCAACTGCGCAGGAGATTTTTTTTTCCACAAAAATAATACCCAAATGTCCCAGCATGGTAGAGTTATCTTTAAAATCTTAAAAGTCTATTCAGAGGAAGGCGCTTGGATTTGCTCGGGGGTCTCTCTCATTTCGGTACCTGTGCGTCAGCCACACGCCCAAAATCTGAAAGAGAAAGCAGGCCTGGATTTTCACTTCATTCTCAGCACAGTAACTGAATTTGGGCCAATCAGACAGCGGATCCAGTGCCGGATCCAGGCACAGGCAAACCGGGCAGGTACCTGGGGGCCGATCGGCATGTGGGGGCCCGACAAAGTCATGGACATACAGTATATATTGTACAGTATACAAGGCTGGGTCTAGCTATAGGCAGCCTTCCGGGGCCCCCAAATGCGGAAGAAAGTGGAATGAAGTGAAATGATCATCAATTTTCCCGGCAGAGAGACCTTCCAAGTAAAGCTTTGCCTACAGCCCCCTGGTCCTGAGCATCTGATCACTGTAACCCCATAAGGTGCTGGTCAGGGTGACGGGGGGAGGGGGGGGGTTTCCTACACCTACAATAGGAGTTAATATGTATGTTTGCATATTGACATCAGTGTCATCTGCTTTCAAGCAGCTACATTGGATGGACTTCCTATCACTATTAAACTGAACTGATTTTCAGCATTAACATGTGGTTCATTAGAATCCATCCATCCATGTTCTGTAGCTGCTTGTCCAATTCAGGATCACTATCCCAGAAGCCATGGGCGCAAAGCAGGGAACAGCCCAGGATGGGGTGCCAATCCATCACAGGGCACACTCACTCACACACACACACACACACACACACACACACACTCACACACTCACCACACACCCATGGGCAATTTGGTAACCCCAATTCACCTCAGCATGTTTTCGGACTGTGGGGGGGGGGGAATCAGAGTATCTGGAGGAAACCCCATAATGTCATGGGGAGAACATGCAGACTGCACACACAGAGTCATGGTGGAGACTCAAACCCGGGTCCCAGAGGCGTGAGGAACTATGCTAAACACTGCACTGCTGCACTAAAACCAAAATTGCTAAATCATTCAATTAAGTTATATAAAATGATACATATTAAAGATACATTAACTGACCTGTGGATTAGCAGTTAAACATGTTGATGCTTATATGGCGATAATTGTATGTCTTATTGGGTCACTCTTACTGCTAACAAGATATGAGCTGGAGAAGCACCCGGGTGTGACACCCACCTCGGTGAAGCTGAAGAAGAGGCCAACTCCTCCCACGAAGCGCAGCACTTCTTCGGCATGCTCTTCGATCTTGGTCTTGCAGGGGCTGCATAGGAGGTCGCGGGAACAGGCCTGTGGAGAGAGAAACGCAGCAGGCAGACGAGCATGAGCCTCAAATCGTACATCAATGCAGATGAGGCCAAGGGCCAAGTAAAGCTGCAAACAAAGATTCCCCAAGCTGAAGCTCCAGCGTAATTTACGGACTATAAATGCAAGCCGGCATGCAAATGGCGTCTACACACCGTGCTATGCACACTGCACAGAGGTGGGGATATCTCTCACCGCGTCACATGTCCTGTTGTAGTCGACGGACGAGAAGCCGCAGCAGTCGAGCGTTTTCTCCACGTCTCTCTGCATGCTTTCAGAGTTGTTCCAGCCCACCTCCAGCAGCTGCCCCTACAATGCAGGGAGAGGTTCTTCCACACATTAATAACGCACTAGTTAAGCTAACAAATAACGTGAAATATGGAATAAATCATTCTAAAGCACCCGTTCATAAGGAGGCTTCTTGTTACAGGTTTACCATTTTACCAAAATCGGCTGCTCAAGTACACTGCAGACTTACCTGTTGGTCTTCATTTATTGCTAGACAGGCACAAGACACTGATATCTGCACCACAAACACCAGGAAAAGGACGATCATGTACTGGGTGAAGAAGGAAGTCAAGGAAGCTCCACAGGCAGCATAATGAAAAACACCAACATTCATCAATGCTGTGCTGTACCAAGTAAACATGTTATTGAGATCTGAAGCAATTCTAATTGCTTCAGATTGAACCGAACTAAATTGGAGTTACCAAATCGCCTGTAGGTGTTAATGGTGTAAGGTAATTGCTTAGTGTACTCAAAGGTACAATAACGATTCTTATTTTGGGATCAGAAACTGCTTTAAGGTCAATTCCATCTAGCACAAGGGCAAAATAAGCTCCCTCTCATGCATGTAATGAAGGTTTGTCAACAACTGGGGAACTACTCTGCCCCCAGTCCACAAATGTACATAAGTACAAGGAGAATTGCAAGTACAATATAAAGAGAAATAATTCATTTTCCTTTAACAAGAAAGTGAAATGTTAGACTGGACAATCTCAGGAAAACATTACTGAAAGTTCCATTCTTGATACTTTATTCAGAAATTAACCTCAAACATGCATATATATTAATAAAGACTAGAAAATATTTTTTAAGCACTGATACTGATTCAGATAGATACGAAAGGCCTTTAGTGATGTCTGAATAAGTAAATAGATATTATTTTTCCAGGTAAGAATGAATAATTTCATTACATTAATGCAGAGTAGAATTTCTGATTTTTCTAACAGATATTTAACTAAGAAGAGACCAGCACTACAGCATTCTTTATAAATTATGGATTGAGTACAGAATAACTTCTCTGAGTAACTTTTGCTGTTAATCATTTATGGTTAAACCTTCCGCTTCAGAGCAAAGGATACAAAGAAGAGCAGGACCTGATGGTGCTTCACCGCCCCGATGAGCCCGACCAGCGCCACGACGAAGAGGAAGGAGCCCACTCCGATCATGCCACCCACCACTTGGAAGCTGGAGACTAGGCCGAACCATTTTCCCCAGGCGGCGACCCCGATCACGAGGAGGCTCACCATCTGAGGAGTGATACAACACAGTGAGAGGCTGGGGGGGGGGGGGGGG